GGCCCATTCACGTGGTGGGGGAGGGGAGGGGAGGGAGTGGACGAGTCCATTCTTGGATTCCCTTGAAGGGGTGGCTCGAATGCACCTGGCTAGGATGGGACGCTCCCATTTTCTACTGATGTGGGGGACAGAAAAGGAAGATGACAAAACGTAAAAATTCGAGGCTCCGTTCTAAGGAGCCACTCTAAGGCAGCGCCAGGGCTTTAGTGAGCCTATCTGCTCGTGGGCTTCCCCTACTCAAAACACTGTGTGTGTGTGTGTGTGTGTGTGTGTGTGTGTGTGTGTGTGTGTGTTAAAATCTAAAGTACGGCCGGGCGCGGTGGCTCAAGCCTGTAATCTGTAATCCCAGCACTTTGGGAGGCCGAGGCGGGCGGATCACGAGATCAGGAGATCGAGACCATCCTGGCTAACACGGTGAAACCCCGTCTTTACTAAAAATACAAAACATTAGCCGGGCTTGGTGGCGGGCGCCTGTAGTCCCAGCTACTACGGGAGGCTGAGGCAGGAGAATGGCGTGAACCCGGGAGGCGGAGCTTGCAGTGAGCCGAGATCGCGCCACTGCACGCCACCCTGGGCGACAGAGCGAGACTCCGTCTCAAAAAAAAAAAAAAAATCTAAAGTACATATCTTTGCATTCAAGACATCACAGGACCCCTACTCAAAACACCGTGTGCGCGCGCGCGCGGCATAACATATAAACTACGTATCTTTGCATTCAAGACACCATAGGACCTGCGTGGACCTGCGTGGAGGGTAGAAGAAGGTGCAGAAAGAGAAAGGAAATTAGAGACGCCTCCAGGGCTCAGGTCCAGTCTGGCGTCCCTCCGTCAGATCATCTTGCAGATCTGCAGCCTCTACACCCCTCTGTAAACCCACAGGCCAACTGGGTGTGTCTGAGCTCTGAAACCTACATCCACAACCAAGGCCACCTAGGGTCGCGCCTCTCCCCGAAAGCCGCCCCAAATTAATCTCAGACCTCAGTGTCTTCTCAGATCTCCCTCTTCTCTGGGACCAGGTGGGGGTCTCACTCCCCGCTAAACGTCCTGGTCATGTTCTTATAGCCCCACTCCAGGTGGGACCTTCCCATGTATTTATTCCTTCGAGGTGGATTGATACTGAGACAGAGATGAGTGTTATTCATTGTGTTTATGTTCTTTTTCAATCCACTTCCCTGGAACGGGCTGGGCACACAGTGGTTGTTCCACAAGTACTTGCTGAATGAATAGTAAATGAGTGGGTGAGCTCCTGACCTTGTTCCAGTGTATTCAGGGAGACAGATCCAGACACAAAGGTGTACGGGTGTCAAAGTTGTGTTTGAGACAGGAACCTCTGGGGAGGAAGAGGAGAAGGACTCTGAGGACTACGGGTTTCCTAGGAGTAGTATCTCAGCTGGGTCTGAAAGATAATGAAGGCTGGGCAAGCAGAAAGAAAAGACACAGGTAATCACTTTCTTTTTAGGCAGGGGGAATATCGTGGAATAGCTTGATTTTAAAGTGTGAGGGAGACCGGCATGGAGGCTCATGCCTGTAATCCCAGCACTTTGGGAGGCTGACATGGGCAGATCATTTGAGGTCAACCAGCCTGGTCAATATGGCGAAACCCCATCTCTACTAAAAAAAAAAAAAAAAAACTAGCTGGGCATGGTGGCACACACCTGTAGTCCCAGCTACTTGGGAGGCTGAGGCAGGATAATCGCTTGAGTCTGGGAGGCAGAGGTTGCAGTGAGCTGAGATGGTGCCACTGCAGCCCAGCCAGGGTGATACAGCGGCCCAGCTTGGGTGACACTGCGAGACTCTGTCTTAATTACATAAACAAACAAATAAAGTCTGAGGGAGCCAGGTGAGACCCTGTCTCAAGAAAAAAAAAAAAAAGGTAAGTGCCTGTAGTCCCAGTTACTTGGGAGGTTGGGAGGCTGAGGTGGGAGGATTGCTTGAGCCTGGGAGATGAGGCAGCAGTGGGCCATGATTGTGTCACTGCACTCCAGGTTGGGTGACAGAGTGAGTCCCTGTCTCTAAAAAAGAAGTCATAATCAGCCAGGCACAGTGGCTCACTCCTGTAATCCTGGTACTTTGGGAGGCTGAAGTGGGCGGATCACTTGAGGTCAGGAGTTCGAGACCAGCCTGACCAACATAGCAAAACCCCATCTCTATTAAAAAATACAAAGATCAGGCCAGGCGTGGTGGCTCACGTCTGTAATCCCAGCACTTTGGGAGGCCGAGGCAGGCGGATCACGAGGTCAGGAGTTTGAGACCATCCTGGCTAACATGGCGAAACCCTGTCTCTACTAAAAATACAAAAAATTAGCCAGGCGTGGTGGCATGCGCCTGTAGTCCCAGCTTACGCAAGGCTGAGGCAGGGGAATGGCGTGAACCCGGGAGGCAGAGCTTGTAGTGAGCCGAGAGCTGAGATTGTGCCACTGTACTCCAGTCTAGGAGACAGAGCGCGAGACTCCGTCTCAAAAAAAACAAAAACAAAAACAAAAACAAAGATTAGCTGGGCATGGTGGTCTATGCCTGTAGTCCCAGTTACCTGGGAGGCTGAGGCAGGAGAATAGCTTGAACCCGGGAGGTGGAGGTTGTAATCAGTCGAGATTGTGCCACTGCACTCCAGCCTGGGTGACAGATTGAAATTCCATCTCAAAAAGAAAAGAAAAGAAAAGAAGTCATAATTATGCCTTCAAGTCAGTGGTATAATAAGAGAGAAATTTTTGGCTGGGCACGGTGGCTCACGCCTGTAATCCCAGCACTTTGGGAGGCCAAGACGGGCAGATCACGAGGTCAGGAGATCGAGACCATCCTGGCTAACATGGTGAAACCCC